CTGACAATTTGCACAGACGAATTATCAGAGCGAATTTTCATATACTGTATTATCCTACTATTGTTACACAATTTATTAACATACTCTTTTTTAGGCTCTTTTGATAACGATAGCAGAAGATAGCTATCGAAACGTTAAGGAAATTTTTCAAATTAATTTCTCTACTAATTGGAATTTTCTCTTACAGCTTGAGCCCAAGTGTGCCGCAGGATACCCTCTAGGTGATAGTTCTTGATTACTTTTTGATAAATAATTCGTTCTTATTGCGAAATAGGAGCACTATTTATCAATCTGTAATAAAAGACGTGAGGAAATTCTGTCTTTTTTAAAGACAAAAATTTTTGAGGCAAAATACCCAAAAAGAAGTTAGTAAAAAATGAGTCCGCCTCAGCAATACAGAACTTATCTCAATAGACTAGATAACCTAGTGCTCAACCATAATCGCTAGTAATCGCCACCATCGTACTAGTGGATAGTGAAAGGAGTTAAATTGTACATGAAACATTTATTGCAAACTCGCACGGGCCGCATCAGACCGTACTTGGGCAAGGGAACACTATTGGACGAGCACCGCGCGCAAAACACTTTTCCGCAGTTCCTGCAATGGTGGCGTCGCTTTATAACGGTGAAATTGGTGCCACAACTCATACACTTTGGCGCCTGGATATCGGGAATCCACACTGGAGGCGCCTGGGTCGGTTCCGGCGGAATTTCCGGAGGTTCCGGATCCGGAATCTGCGGCAAAGAGTCCAGATTGGCGATGTCCGTTTGCAACGAGGTGTACCAGTTGAGATCGGCACTCAACGCCGAAATATTGTCGTCCATCTGGTACTGCCGCGGGTGATTTGAGTAGTCAGTCTCGGGAAACTCCTCCGGCTCCAAGTGAAAGTACACGTTCGTATCGAAAAGGGCTTCTTGCGCGAGAATATTCGGGTCAACGGAGAACTCGTTATTTTCGATTACCTCGTCTTCAGTCGGGTGATATTCTATGGAAGTTTCCATTGAGCGGGCGTCGAGTGATTTGGCTGGCGCCTCTATGGAATCGGAAGCGTTTATCAGAAACACTGACTTGAGAATGTTGCGAAGGTCACAAGCAAAGTTCGTCTGCAGCTGGTCGGCCACGCCGGCAATGCACACGAACAGTCGGTGGATCAGATCCTCACTTGATCTAAAACAGAATCACTAAATCTAGGCAGATAAAAAAAATAAAAAATACTGACCTGTATTTCGCTCGCAGTTCCTCGCGACTTGCAAGCTCGGCAGCCTGAAGAGCGTAAGCAATCTCAGCATCATCCGCACAGTTGCTGTTGTACGAAGAAGTTTCCGAGCTGCTTGAGCAAGAGTAGTCGTTTGAGCTGGGCAGCACCTCTTTCTTCCTAGCTAACAGTCCGGCCTTTGGGGATCCCGTCTTCTGCGTTTGCACTTTGCTGTGTCGGCTAGACGCGCCTCGATAAGGGCTGTTTTGGCAACATGAGGGCATTTTGGGATTGCAGCGGCAATCTGCCGCCTCGGTTATCTCCAAGGTGGGCGATCGGTCCAGACTAGTTGTCTCCGTGCAGATTCCGGAATCATCTGGCGATTCCAGGTCGACACTTGCGCTTTTCTGCGGGACGCTGTCGCTGATGTTGAGGATGGAGGACAACGTGGCGGCTGCCGCCGAAATAATCTCCAGAGAGTCCTGTTCAGGAGGCGATTCCGCCGAGACAGTATGTCGAGAGCTTGGAGACGCCGATGAAGCTATAATCGTGTTGCGCACCACGTTCTTAGGTATCAAATAGCCAGACGTTGATGGGCCTTCAATGGGCAGGTCGCTTATTGTAATGTTTCGTTGTGCATTTTCGTCAGCGGTTGGGGTTTCCGGTTCCGCGGCGCTCCCGCTGGGGCTGTCGTGGATCAGCTGCTGCCAGCAATTTTGAAAGTCGTTGTAAAACTGATCCACAAACTCGTCCTCGCTTATATCTACATTAACATCACTAACCGACTTCACGTCTTCAATTTGCTCGTTATCACACAGAAGCTTTTCGAGCATGTACAGCTCACGTTTATTTAAAATCCACAGCAACTCGCGGATTTTATGCAACAAAGTCCTAAACGGCCGGAACAGTTCACTCATTTTTTCCACCGGTCTATCTATGCACAACGGTCCGTTGGGGAACACTAGAAGGCCACTAACAATCGCCAGTCGAGGAATTGTAAACATTAAGGCTGGATCACAGTCGTCGATCATTTCCTGCGTGAGCAACTTCATTTTCAACGCTCTTCTCAAGGTTTCGGAAAACAGCACTCCTATTAATTCCTGAAGCTCGTACTCTTGCGTGGATTTAACTGGCACCATTGCGCTCACATAGGCCAGCTCGAACTGGGCAAAGAGTTTGTCGAAGATTTTCAGGCTTTCGAGCAGCATTTCGGTGAATATGTCGTTAGAGTCGAGTTTAATGGGGCCATTAGGGGTGTTGTTTCTTAGGCAAGCGTTTCGCAGCAGATTTCGGACGTTTTCAAGGCTTTTTGTCACTGCTTTGGCCAGCGGTCGCATCACGGTGCTTTCGGCTTCTCGGTTCATTATAGAGGAGCCAGCCGCCAAACACTGAAAAAATTAAAACCGAGTGAAATTCCCGTAAAAATGGGGCAAAGATGTACCTCGGCGCCAAACCAGAGTTGACCTGCCAGGTTGTCTTGCAGCACATCTTCAGGAAACTTGACCCGGAAATCCCGGTTGGCCCGCTCGTTTCCAATCAACGCATCCATAATGGTGTTGGTGACGGTTAAAACCTTGTCCTGCGCCTGCCGCAGCTGGTTTACCAAAGTGGTGCATCGCTCTGGGTCTTTTCTTCCATCGAAGCTGTCCAGTTCATTTGCCACTATGTTCAGGTCTTCGTCCGCATAGAAGAACTGCGCTAGCAACGACTTGTCGTCCCGCTGTAATCAGGATCAGATGGGCTTTAGGTTGAAATAATTTCTGGCATTCTTCATAAAAAGTTCAGGAATTCCATCGCTGCATTATCTAATGCGATTTCTATTTATTGTGCGTGTTTTAATTTGAATTTTCCTTGTTCCGGCTCGTGGCTATCGTCACCCGAAACGCGAATAACTAATCCAAATTGAAACAATGAAAGTGTGATTAGATAATTTTTGGTTAAACATAGCTCGTCAGTTAAAAAACACTGATAAGTTTCACATTTAGGAATGTTTTCCGGGCTTTGAAGCCGTGGTCTATGGGAATTTCTTCCTGACGTTTCGTCCACAACTGCGGTGGACATTATCAAAGGCGATGAGGCAGTGGGCGAAGTGATCTCCCGTGCTTTCCGACTAAGACTGGTTCAACTACTGGATCCCCTGTCGTATTTATGCGGCGACAGGGGATCCAGTAGTTGAACTAGTCTTATTTGACCGGCCATAAAAGCCTTCACAGTCTGAAAAAAGTTCGTTCGAATACGTTGGACGAGTGAAGATGACGTTCACTAACCGATTATTCAAGTTCAAGAAGGCAACAATCGGTTATAAAGCGGGATCGGGTATAAAAATGGAAAACCAATTTGGTCCGGTGTGGAAGACTTTGAAGAGATTCAAGTGGAAGGTCGAAAATCGAGTATTAAGATGGAAAAAAGTTTACATTTCGAAATGTTTTTCGGGCTTTGAAGCCGTGGTCCATGGGAATTTCTTCCTGACGTTTCGTCCACAACTGCGGTGGACATTATCAAAGGCCTCATCGC